GGACATATGTGAGCGTTTCTGATAGGCGGGTTTCTTACGGGTTTCTTACGAGCCGCACGATTGGCCTAATTTTTACGTGTGCGTGACGGTTGGGCGCAGTGACATGTCAAAATTCACAGAAGGGAGTTGGCAAGGATCGTTTACAGTGAACAATGAAAGAGTAGTTCGAACTTTAGAGCCGTCTTCTGAGCAAAAAAACGCTTTGAGATAATTCCTTCAAGGCCAGAATTTGCTAGTAAATTTGCCGGCTGGTTTCCCAGCGTCTTCCAATCGCTGCAGATGTACTACTGCGTATTCTGTAATTTAGCCGACAGTTCTAGAGTCAAAACAAATGAAGAAATCATCACATTATTCACGATAAAAAAAAAAAAACTACACAAATGTAGCTATTCAGGTCCAAGCGTTTCGTTGAAAACCAAAGAAACTAAGGTTATTTAGCCGCAATAAAGAAAGTTAAGGCTTAATCAGAGGTAAAAGAAAATCATTTATGCATCTGTGATCAAATCGTCTTAGAAAACATTTGCCAAAAAATAAACTACAGGAACTAATTACTCAATATGTATGAAACAGACCAGCTTCACATCCTCTAAATGTAGCTAAAGGTGAGACTCAAAGCGGCAAAAAAAAATTTGCTCAGTCAAATTGTAGAATACTCCACGCACTGTATAAATTACGCAAAAAGAGAGGAAGAAAAACATCTGTTGTTCAAGCTACTCTAGGGGTCTCTAAAGTCACGTTTCACACTATCACGAGCTCAATCTCTCTGGTCACGAGCTATGAGTCATGTTTGGCCTGTCAACGCTTAATTCAAATCGGACTAATAACAAACTGCGAAAGAAAATAGCCAATCAATAACGCCGACATATTTCTTTGCGACTCTACGGGATTCGAACACGATATTGTGCACTAATTCGCAGACGCTATATACAGAAGGTTTAGAGCGTCTGCGACGCAGGCTAGGTTAGAATTTGAGTGCTACAATGGGAGGGAAGGAAGAAAAGGAAAAAGCCGCGTACAACAGTTAAGTCTTTTATAAACTTTCTCGTCCTGACGGTTTCAAAGAAGGGCGTTGTGGCTGCTATTTAATTTACAGTGTCTGTTGCAGGTGTTGAATTAATCTTACTGCAACTGGAAACGTGGCCACGCCTGCCGAAACTGAGATTGCTTATAGGATGAACGGCTATAGTTTGGTATATTCAGGAGCACGTTTTGTTCAGTGAACTGAGTGCGTAGTTTTTCTTAACGAAGGGATGGGGTGGGTCAAGTGAATAGTTCGGGGAACGTTTGCTCTCTTTAGGGGGGAGGGGGGGTATATTTGTTGATATCAGGAGTTCTGGCCTGGATAGAGTCGTTTTAAGCTATTTTTGCTTCGGAGTATCGGTTTACCGGAAGCTGAGCAAGGAAAAGTCAATGGTGCATTTATGGAATAATAATAGAGATTCTCATGGTCTAACAGTGCGAAGATTAGACTTCTGGTAAGGTGGCAACGATCAAGGCCCGCATTATAATTCATGATAATTGCAGGTCATGATGTGGAAAAAGCGACTGAAATGGTGGATGCCATCAGGAGCCCATCATGGGCTCCTGATGCCATGCAATCCTCTCGGGTGGGGGCGGCGTACCTGGCCTTAACGGTTGCCCCTGCGACAGAAGGCAAGCATGCCCAGATTGTCCACGGGTTGCCAAATAGCCTGAGTATCAGGCCTTCCTACGGGGCTAGGGGCTAGGGGAGAGGAGATTTTAGAGGGGGGGGGGGGGAGGGGGAGAGGAGAAAGGAAGGCCTAACACAAAACCATTCAGCAAATCGTGTGACACATCCAAAATCTGGATGTGGCAGTGATTGGATAACACACAATACCCCCTGACGTCACCGACCGCAAGAGCGATCGGCAAGGAGACGGTCATTGAAATTTTTCATAGATGTTTTGATTTCATGTTACCGGTATGTGATACTTTTACAGACAGAGATGCAGAGAGGAATTCAAAAAGGCTCTAGAGGGCGCTCTCAAGTTCTTTCCTGGAATAAAAATAAAACCCGAGCAAGAATTGTGTTTTCAAGGCCTTGTAGTTTAAAGGAAACATGTACTCGAAGTAAGGAAAAGCCTCGTATACCATCTTCGACCGAAACTATGTCCGAATATTGGTTTCACAAGACCGGGACAAAGAAGACGATATCAGTGTTTCAGACATCTAAGTTCAGATTTACAACATCCTGCTGTTAAAAGGGTATTGTTACTGTAAATGAAAATAGAGAGAGGTAGCCATGTATTGAGATAGCCGCGGGGATAGCCGACAGCACCAATGCTTTTAAAAAGCTTGACTTTGCTTGTTGCGGTTACGATAACGTACGTGATTGGAATTCGTTCGCTTCCTCTTCCAAAATCTTCTCACTTTTGAAATGTCTTAAGCTCAAGCGGGCGCTATCATATTTCGCCAACGGGATTGACCTTTGCTATAGGCTCTCACTTGTTTTGAACTTGTAACAGCTTTCACGAGCTCTCTTTGAAGTGGTGGAATCTGCTGCCGCTTGATAATTTCTAGACATACGTGTGTCACCATCGCACCTTCCGATATATTCTTACAGCTCCTTTCAACCACCCGAGAATACGAGGGATACCAGCAGCTTTTTAGCTGCCAGACAAGCGCTTCATTTAACTCTGTAAACAAAAGCAATTTACAATTTTCCGGGCACACGTTTGTTTACAAACAGCGCGTGTGCGATCTTACACTAGCACAATTCCTAAACCCTGTTATAATTCCTCATAAACGGCAGGTTTTACATTACAAGTATTCGAAAACTCCTCATTGGAGGTTTCAGAAAAAAGCGAAATCGTAGCAACACAAGCACCGGAGCTCGGCCCGACCGTTAAGTGAGATTTATTTTAGGCGAGCTTTTTGACACGTGAAGCTGACAACCCAATGACCGGAACTGATTTTGATTGGATAGTATCGAATCATGCTGTGTGGGGGTGGAAGGCTCCAGTAAAAGCATCTGTGTCAGGCGTTTCTTTCCTTCACCTCTCTTCCTTTTTCGCTTCCATTTTTCCCCTTTTCCCCAGAAACGCCTGATACTCAGGCTAGTTGCCAAATGAGACCGTGCCTTTCTTAGTACCCGTTCCCTGTCTTATAATTAGACCCGGGCAAATTTCTTGAGATTGCACCATCATTTTGGGCTTAAAGCTTCCAAAGTCCAACAATAATAGCGCATGTTCGCGACGGTTTTTTAAGTCAGTCAAGTTCTTAAACCAGGCCTTAAACGGCCAGTTTTAAGTGTCGATAAGTTAAAAAGGCATACAAGCCTCATGCAAAAGACAGTGAGAAGGAAGTGCACATCGGTGATGAGGAAAAAGGAGTAACCCACAGTTATTTAGGGGTGGATCTTTCGAAACATTGTTATACTCTTGGACAGATATGCATTGTTTAAAGTTTTAGACAAACCAGGTGTAAATTTATAGTAAGAAACTGTTAAATATACATCAGCAAGATTTTTGCGAATCCTATTTTTCGCTGGAGACTATCGTTTACTGGCTGGTCACGCAATCAAAGGTAACGTACTTTCCCACGTTTGTTTACTCACCTTTCGCTCAGCAATACACTGCGTTCCACAAAGGATCCAAATTGCGCTAGAAATGTTTTGCTATTCGGCAACGCTAGAGTACAACCATCAGAGAGAGTTTGTAATTTTGGTGTCAACCTAGATAAAGACATGCAAAAAGGCTATGCTGGCGATTTGGTTTGTTGGAAGATTGAGGAATTATCTGAGCAAGGATCACCTTAAGATGATGGTCAATTCTTTCCTCATGTTTCTCTTCGATTATTGCAACAGCAGTATAATGTGGTCTTCCCAATCCCGAAATAGATTTAGCTGCAACGTGTTCAGAGTAAGACGAGAAAAAAAGATCCGGCCATATAACTCCTGTCATGAAAGACTTGCACCTATTATTATCATTATCATTATGATTATTATCATTTATATCATTATTATCTATTTCAGGCTTCAGATATATTTAAAGGGTAGGGATTTAACCTGTTGAAGTATGTGAAACGGTAGGAAAATCTGTCATTTCCGTCACAAAAAGGGCCAACAGATGTATTTTATGGCTGTAAAAAAGTCAAGAAAACGTTCTAGTTTTGTGTTATATTCATATTTTAACGACAGTGCTTTTACAGAAATTAGAAGGTATGTATATTTCTACAACAAGTTTGTGAAAGAGGTATTATTTTCAATAGAAGGTATACGAAAAGGGTACTACAGTGGAACCTCTATTCATGGGACATCCTCGGAACCATGGCAAAGGGCCCCCTAGATGGAAGTTGGGCTGGGATTAGTTGATAATTAACCAACAAATAAAATCTTTTTATTAGAGCCGGAAAAGGTGTTTGCTCTCGCAGGCATTTGAATCTGCTGCAGTCATTATTTCAAGCATCTGGATAATGTATAAAAAACCATGATCAACTTATCTCTGCAATGTTGTGTGTTGAATTCCCACAAGCGCAGGACATCGATTTAGATGAGTTAACTCGTGTTTTGAAAGCTGTCGTCATTGTGACTAGTGAACACTTTAAATTATCGACAATTTTGAGGTCAGTCACTTTTTGATTGCTAAGGTGTCTCCTGAATGGAGATGAAACCCAGTTGTCGGGACCCAGAATACAGGTAACAAATACAGAGATTATGTGAACATTTTTCCGGGACCAAGTTTTGTGTCTCCTAAATGGAGGTGTTACTTGAATAGAGGTGTTCCAAAGGAAATGTTCCACTATATTCTTTCAAAAATGGTATATAAAACTGAGTACGGGATCGGACCTGTGGGAGGAGCCTCCCCGTACGAAGGGTAAAAGAAGGTCCTGGAAAAATAAATAACCAAGCCCATCCACTAAGTTAAGAAAAATCTTCATAAAGAAACGCAAAAAAATATCACAAGGGACAGACATGTACACGGACACTGGACTGTTATTCATTAAGATTATTTTTGTAAAATGCATGGTATCATAGAAAGATGGCCAGGGAAAAGTTAAGACTCTCGCTCTTCTTTGCAGATCACTATCGCAATGTTGTGAACAAATATGATTACTTCTACAAAGAAAATCACCAAGGTTACATTCCCATCCTAATGAAATGTTTGGACTTAAAGCCAGAGCACGTGGTCGCTGACGTTGGTAGTGGAACAGGCGCCATTGCAAAAGATCTCTTTGAATTATCAGGGCTTCACAATCCTATTTGGTGTGTAGACCCCATTTGCAAGAAGTGGCTAGACAAAAGAAAGGAGTTTACCCAAAACGGCCGAAGAATTTTCTCGAATCCACAAATTAGCGACAGGTTTGACCGAGTGGCTACTATGGGTGCACAAAAACCCCGATGCTGTCTATAAAGGAATACTTCGTAGTCTACGCCCCGGGGTTTTTATGTGCAGTTAACAGGCACCCTTAAGAGCAGTCTTCCGTCATTCAAAGGTTTAAAAAACCCTTATGAGCCAATGTTTTGAGCGAGGGAAGGAAATTCATCTCCGTTGCTAATCAAACATCTCCTATCAAGAGTTCTCCTTTTCCGTGTGACAAAATCCAAGTTGTACGAAAAATATCGATGCCGCTTTTAAGTGTATTGCAGCATTTAAGATAAAATTGAAGAGGGAATAAGAGAGTTGGAGAACGAATATTATCATAATGTTAAAGATGATGAACTCATCAATTACGAGTGTACTGTGTTTATGACAAGAGCAGAGAAAGTAGCTTGAAACAGCCTTGATATCATAATGATACGTGTCATTTTGGCGGTATTTAGCATAGATTGCTCAAATCCGTTCAAAAGATAAAGTTCAGAATTTGGGGAATAAAAGGAGGTAAATTTGCAAAGTACATCGCCAAGATTTGGGTCATTACAATTTTTCATATGCGAGATATTTGGGCAATGATTTACCCAAATTTAAAGAGTTCCGTTTAGAGAATCCACAATTAACTCATGCACGAGGAGAATCTCCAACAGTGGCTGTCCGTTACGGCTCTTCAATTTTAGCCTGCGTGGCAGGCGTTAAAAGGGGAAGGGGGGGATTTGAACGCGCGAGGGAGAAAGGAAAGAAACGCCTGCAAGGAGACCATTGTTTTCTTCAAAACGTCCCCTTATTTGCTATGCAAACATAAGCTAACTGTGAAATGTCTGGTCATCAAATGACATCCAATCAAAACCATTCGCGGGAAATTCTGGGCGCCCAGCGCGTTGTCGTGTTTCATGTACTAGCTTTTTACCGGCATGTGCTAAAACCCAGAAGATAGATTCTGGACGATAGACGATAAACGCTAGGCGACACCATTTTTACAGACTTTTTTACGAGGGTCACAAATACTACAAACTATGCGAGACTTGTTACACAATCGTTAAATAATTATTTATTCAAATTTGTCACTCAATCGTTCTGGGGTGCGGATTCGAACTCTCCCGAAGTTGTTCTTTCTTGCTAGGGTAGTTGTTTTGTTTTCTTTTTGTTTTGTTTCGTTTGTTTGTTTGTTTGCTTTTGATCTGTCAGCCCTTTCCCTTTAGCTTCGCCAGGTTCTGCGACACTCGTATCTCTAGGTTTAGATATGAAATGATTCAGTCAAAAAGTGATGGGGGGTGGTCTATCTCTGAGCACTTAAGCAGTAGAAAGATGAGACTTTGCCAGATACATACATGTGTGGTTTCTGTCAATTAGGTAATTTTCAATTATACAAATGTTGTCACGTGACTCCACACGGCCAGAAAACAATGAAAAGCCCTTAAACAAAAATGGCAACACTTTTTGTTGTGAGTTATTAAACCGGACAGGCTTAGAACAATGTGTAATGCAAGCATCTACAAAACTGTGCTTGGCCTTTTTTGAATTTTTTACTGTTTTAGAAAATAAACGGCTTTTTCAACTAGACCCAGTCCCCCAAAGCAATTGTATCCCATCTTAACGCCTTCGATTTTAAATATTTAAACAAGAATCGCCGAAAGGCGATTTTTAATTGGGCTGCAAAGGGGCTATTTTTTCTGAAGGGAGGGGGCGGCTATACACACTCGGGCTACCATAAAACCATTGCCTCATGTGAGACTGAAACATAAACTCATTCACAACATTGTACCCTTTTGAAAGACTTTCCTAACCAAAAAAAAGAGTACCATTTTTAAGTGGGGGCTGTATAATAACTTTTAAATTCCACCATTATGAATAAAAATGAACAAGTTAGCCATTAATTCTAAGCAGGAAAAAATTTGCATTATTTCCACGTACCCCTTCCGCAATCCCTCTGTGCCCCAAAATATAGCGTGACAGTATAACGTGACTAATTTGACGCAACTGGAAATTCCAAAAATTGTTGTCGTTCTACGGGCATAAAATGCGACAGACTGAGCTGATTTACACTAGACAGAAATATTGTATTGTATGAAAACCAGAAGTATACTAAAGCAGACAGTTAACTGCCCATTGATCCCGCCTAATCCAGGGGCCTCACTGACTGCACGGAGACTTAACTGCGCTTTTCACAAACATGCGAACTCTAAAGTTCAAAAGCCACCTTCACAACTGTGTTTATCGCTGCCGTCAATCATAATTACGATCACAAGCAACGAACCTTGAAACAGAGAAACACACAAAACGGATCGAAATCCACAAATCACAAACCATGACCTTTTGAACCCGTGAAGTAAAGTGTTGTTTCCTAAGAGGTCCGTTAAGATGATTGACAGCAGCGAAAAACGCAATCGTCGGTTGGCTTCTGAACTTCAGAATTCGCATGTTTGTGAAAAGTGCGATCCTAATTTGCGGTCCACAGTTTACAAGAAAACGCACTATTTTTTCCACAATATGAAAAATATTCAGTTTTAAGATTTTCCTCATAGTATTTTTCTCTAACTTAAAGGAATAAAATCCTTTGCATTTTAAGACCTAAAAAAGTTTAAAGATTTCTCGCTCGCATGTTGCGTTCACCAGCACGCACTTCAAACAATGTAAATAGCTGAAACGATCGATAACATATTTTTTACCTGATACCGATGCGAGTTAAAAATTCGCTTCAGTTCTGTTTGTCTCACCCAAGACGAACTTTTCTTCATGGAAGATAACTATGCCGCTTTATAACTCGTCCGAAGTTTTTGTGCCAGCTAAACAATATGGAAACACTATTCACAGTGACTCCTTGGATATTAAAAAGACTGAACGTGACGCACTATTATGCCTTTGTTTACTTCTGATCACATCTTCAAGCGAAGTCTCTTTTTTCAAGCGATTCATCTCAATGCACAATAATTGACCCTTATATTAGTTAAAACCCTATGGTTCATTTATATTAATGCTGTTTTTGCCCCTCACATTGACTGTGTTCGTTCGTATTCAAAACACCTTTACGAAAATAAAGGTCGTATAAGTCATGTGTGTTATGTTTCGAGATAAATGAATTATACGCTTTTTTCTAAGTTTGCATTTTGCGGTGACTTCAGTTTACATCTCCATAAAATGGTAAAAGAAATATCAAGAAACATCACGAGAGCTGAAAACTTTCAAAGGCATGTTTCTGAAACTCGCTAATGCTGACATGAATATAGCGTGCTTGCTGAATGGGCGAAAACACAGAATTGTGATCACAAGATCATGTACAAATTTAATGATAAAAGCTTAGCAAGATACAAATACAAACAAAAGCAAACCCCCTGAAACCTCGACGTGGGCTACACTTGTATGCTCTACTCAGTCACCAAACCATGTCAGTAATAGCTCCTATTTTCCTCAAGTCGCTCTCTGTGAAGCTCCCGGATGGGATGTCCCGGTAAGCTTTAAACTTGTGTGCGAAATTCTCAGAGTCCCTATTTTTGTCCCTGTCTTCTTTATCCTCAGTATCCGAAATTTAGACCTCCAAAGTGGCGTGTGTTGCATTAAATAGAAGGAAATATTTAAAGGAAAAGCCAGGGTTCTAACATGGCAAAGTTGTCACGTCCCTCGCTCATGGACCCCTTGCGAAATGGAATTGAGAATTCCTAGGAATTCCTAGGCTTTTCCTAAGAATTCCTAAGAATTTATTCTTAGGAATTCTTAAGAATTCATAGGAATCAAGGTGTGAAATTTCACGGCAATTGGAACATGGAATTCCTAAGAATTCCTAGGAATTCCAAGCTTTGCTCACCCATCAGTTGGCTTGGAAAATATTCCTAGGAATTCTTAGGAATTCGTAGGAATTGAAAGAATATAAACAGAATGATTACTTCTTAGGAATTCCTAGGAATTTCCTAGGAATTCCTTGGAATAGCTTGGAATAGCTAGGTCAATAGGGATGTAACAAATCGACCTGCTGCAGGAATTAAGGGATATTCGAATCAAAAACTGATTTGCATTTAAACCCTTATGTTAAGGAAGTTAGTACTAGAAGTTGCTATTTTGCTCTCCGAACCAGAAATCCATAAGGCAAATGTACAAAAACTGAAACAATGTTTATTCCAGCAATGACTGAAAAATAGCTCTCCGTGTTAACAAAAAATACTTCTTCTGCTTTAACTTGACTTAAAAATTTCACTGCACTGATCGTTTAAATGTTCCAAAAATTACAAAAGTGACCTCAAAAAATCAAATTTAAGACAATGACTTTTTGTGAAGTAGGAAACAAATAATTCAGTGTAATGACTGTAGTCCTTATATACATATGAATAAACTTAGATATAGATATACTTACACATAGATATACATGTAGTGTAAAGTAAACTATCGGTATAGTCATGATTGAAAAAAAAAAAGTAAAACATAACCTGTTCAGGTGGTATCTCTAGATAGTGAGATAATGTAAAGTAACATATACCTAGTCATGATTGAAAAAAAATATATAAAAACATACCCTGTTGGTGGAATCTCTAGATAGTGTTCGTTTTTAATCCAAATGACAACATCAGCTAAACATTCTCTTTTTTGTAATTTATTTTACCCAACATACACATCACCACATTCCATATACATGCATGTAAATAAACATCTTCGAATAATTAATACAGTGCATGAATATGAAAAAAAGCTAAATGACTGCTTTTTCCAATGTTGCCGATGCAGCCTTCTGAACTGAAGGTCCACACATCAGGCAAGTGCTAGTGCTAGTTGTTTTTGACCTCACTATTGCAGCGATTATTAAGATTACATGTACCAGAAGCATTTATACAGAACCTTATGCAACTTATACTATGAATTAGAGTTCAAATGAACAAACCTACCGGCTGTATTCTAATATTTAATTTATATGTAAGTTCAAGTCTCAAGTCCTTATAAATTAACTGGAAATTACATTGCTTCTAACTTGTATAAGTAGCCATTGGAAACTTATACTTATTATGCTATTTCTTCTCCTATTTTATCTAACATTGGTCTTGACAAGTCTGCTA